TGCCCGGGTGCAGGGTCTGCTGGCTGGGTGCTGGCGGGTTTGCAACTGGCGTGAGCACTGTAGCCAGACCGTGCCCCTTTAAGGGCTCTGGGGCAAGGGGGGCAGAAGAGTTTCCCTGGTTGTGCCCAGAGTGGCCACCAGGGAAAGCTGGGAAGGGCTAGCCTCCAACTAGTTCGAATTAAGTAGCTACACAGCCCTTAATTCAAACTACCTAATTCGAACTAGGCGCTAGTCCTTGTAGAATGAGGTTTACCTAGTTCGAATTAAGCGCGCTGCTAGTTCGAATTAAATTCGAACTAGCGGTTTGCATGTATAGACGCTATGAAAGTTAATTTGATCTAATGGCTGTTAGTTCGAATTAACTTTGTAGTGTAGACATACCCTAAGAGTCAGCAGTGCAGAGTTACAGGCAGAAGCTAGTCCGCAAGGGGAGCCAGTTTAAAAGCCATTTTTGGCAGGGGGCACTGCGGAGCCAGTTCTGGGGGAAACCAGCTTTTAAGCTGGCTCCCCACCAGCACCAATTCCTGCCTGTCCCATCCTGCTGCCTCTGTAGGAGTCAGCAAGGTGGGGCAAGCAGGTCTGTGGAGCCGGCCTGTGTGGGAAGCTGGCTTGAAAGCCAGCTCCCCGCACATATCGGCTCCCACCTGTCTCCCTCACCCTCCGCGCTGCTGCCTCTCTATCAGAGGCAGCAGCATGGAGGTGGGGAGGCAGGTGGATCTGGTGTTCGTGAGGAGCCTGCTTAAAGCCAGCTCCTCATGGGCACTGGCTCCGTCCCCCCTTGCTGACTCTGTTACAGAGGCAGCAAAGGGGGGAGGGAATGCAGGTAGTCGACAGGATTAACCGATAAGACCAGGCTTATGATTAAAGGTCTAGAAAACATGACCTATGAGGGGAGGCTGAAGGAATTGGGTTTGTTTAGTTTAGAAAAGAGAAGATTGAGGGGGGATGTGATGGCAGTTTTCAGGTATCTAAAAGGGTGTCATAAGGAGGAGGGAGAAAACTTGTTCATCTTGGCCTCTGAGGATAGCTTAAATTTCAGCAAGGGAGGTTTAGGCTAGACATTAGGAAAAAGTTCCTAACTGTCAGGGTGGTCAAACACTGGAATAAATTGCCCAAGGAGGTTGTGGAATCCCCATCTCTGGAGATATTTAAGAGCAGGTTAGATAAATGTCTATCAGGGATGGTCTAGACAGTATTTGGTCCTGCCATGAGGGCAGGGGACTGGACTCGATGACCTCTCGAGGTCCCTTCCAGTCCTAGTATTCTATGATTTATCTGTTAATCGTGTAGTCGTCTACACGTTGACAGCCCTATTTTTTAATCCTATAGAAACAATTCAAATCCCCCTTGATGGACTATATATTTCATCATTAATAGAGACCCTCACTAGCCCAAATGAGCTTCTCTACAGAACCGGCAGCAACCGGCAGGGCACCGCTAGGTGTCCTCAATCACCTTTTACCTGGAATTTTCTGTTCCCCTCCAGTATCTTGTTAGAGAAACACAATTAAACACTACTGCCAGGGCTCTTTAGAAAGATCTTAACCATTCCCTTTGTGGCACAATTGTTCTCGTGCTTACTGACAAGGTCAGAATTAGGCATGTTACATATCGGTTAAAATGTGAAGCAGTTAAATGCTAGGTTTAGCTGGATAACATTGGAGCAGCACCCCCTACTGCAGCATAGCCATGGGCAGGGGGCTGCTCCAGCCCGTCCAGGCCCACCTCATTGCGGCCTGCTCCAGCCAAGCGGGGCCAAGCCTGTCATGCCGCAAGGTGGGGGCTCACCAGGCTGAGACAGGCCCACTGCACCGTGGGCAGGGAGTTGCTCCAGCCCAGCATGGCTGAACCACCCTCTGCCTGAGGTGTGGTGTGGTGTGGCGGTCTCCCCCCGCCTTTGGTGCAGTGTGGCAGTCCTGGCCAGAGCAGCCCCTGCCCGTTTCAGGTGGGAGGTTGTTCCAGTCTGGCCAGGCCACCAGTGAAGAAGTTACCCAGAAACATCACTTGGTAAGGGCGATGCTTAGAGGGTAACCACTTAACCCTTTACATCCCTAATCAGAGTCAGGAAAGGTGGCACACTACATGCAATGAGGAACAAAGTTAATGGAGGTGGCAAATGTTTTCTAACGATCTAGTGGTGTTTAGGACTTGACCCTGCAAATGCTTACTCACAGGATTACGCTCTCCAGCTTCTATAAGTGAGGGTTTACATCAGTGGTGCGCAACCTTTTTTCCACCACGACCCACATGGCTAGGCCCAGCCATTGGCAGCCATGCGGCACAGGGCTCACATCCGGGCGGCCACATGGTGCTTAGACCCAGGTAGCCGGGGGCTAGGCCTGGCCGTTGGTGGCTGCGTGGTGTGGCGACCCCCCGGAAGACGTCCGCAACCCATGAGTTGCGCACCACTGGTTTACAGAACTGGGTCCCAGTAGTGTCTTCCACCTCTCTGCATATGAACTCCCAGTTAGGTCAATGGGAT